GGTAAAAACTCCAAAAGCGGACCTCTTAGCGCGGTCAAAACGTTTAACAAAAAAGGAATAATTAAATAACATATATGCACATACATCCATCGTCGTGCGCATGCACATCGCCAGAGTAACCTCATTATGGGCTATTACTCGTTTTTTGCCGCACGAACCTCCTAATTTAGGGTCCGCTTTGATTAATTGCAAATTAAAGTCGGCCGAGGTGGTACGAACTCGTATGACTTTATTGAATTTCATGCGCGTGATTTATGGGTTCGTGTTACCAATTTATTATCGATCCGAATAATTGACGACTCGGGAACACACGCTTTGATTCTTAATGAAGGTTTTTAATATGAAAATGATTAACCGAATCATATGAAGATGCATATCTTAATACTGTTATGACATGTTTAAATATTGTTTTTGTTAATGAATAATGTATATACAGTAAATATTTTTTAAGCTTAGACGTAAACCTTTTATAGGAAGCACATATATTTGATTCGCTAAGTATATTTAAAATAATAACAGTGAATATTAAAAGTAAATATTACAGAGACGTTACTAAGACGTAATTTGATAATTTTTAAATGCAAATGCCTAATTTATTTAAGAGATTTATTACCGCATACAGTATATTGAAAAAACTTTTATGAATCTAAAGAAATTTTTACTAGAAAACAATTCACGCGGACCAGGCAACAGACGGAACTCAAACCCGCACCCTCCAATTCGGGATCCGAGATGGCGCTGCCTTGCTGCCTAAGAAATACTAGAAGGAATTAGTATTTTATAATAAATCATTAATATTTTTAATAAAAATCTATAATTAAAATGATACTGTGATCAGCTTAGAAGACATTACGCTAATTTTATTAAACAAGTTATAGTTCACGCCCACCCGACCTATGTTATTAACATGTTGAAATGATTCATGCTGTCGCACCTGTGATTCTTTACCCCATTAGAATTGATGATATAACTCCATCCCCCAAAATTATTAAACACCAACAGAGCTTGGGTTAATGACATGATTAAATTTCATAGTAAAGAACAATAATTATGTTTTAGCGAAAAATCTGTGTACAGCTATATCCTAACTACCACTCAGTATATATATTTTCTTAAAAATTTACTAATTTTAATCACAGAATCCTTAACTGAATTTGCACTACAATGTGCTTAGACATTAACAATATACAGGCTGATCCAACTAATGACGTCAACATTTTTTTTTAGATTGGGTGCGACCTAAGTGTATCCGAAAATACCGCATGTATGTTCCACGATTTTTCTTAGTTTTCGAGTTATATTTTTTTTTGAGTATTTTTAATGATTTCTGTCAGCGAGGTTTCAAAAATTCATATATTTTTTCGTAGTAGGTATTTTGCAGTATTTTTTTGCTATATATAAATAAATAATAATGTTGTTTTAATAAAAAAAAGCATGCGGAGTTTTTAATTTTAACCAGAAGCTATGGAAACTCGTTTTTGTATTTTTAAATTGAAGTTGAACGTTTGAGGAAATCCTACTAAAAACTAAAGTTCCAACTTTCAAGCCTTTTTGAGTAACTTTAAGTAATTTCAGGAAGCTGAGTATTGTTTTTTATCAAAACAACATTCAATACAATTTTGTCACAAAAAAGCAAAATACCCACTACGAAAAAAGATATTAATTTTTGAAACCTCGCTGGCCGAAATCATAAAAAATACACAAAAAAAAATATAACTCGAAAACTAAGAAAAATCGCGGAACATACATGGGGTATTTTCGAATACCCCCAGGTGCGAGGAATCTAAAATAAAATTGTTAAAGCCACTAATTGGACCACCCTGTATAAAGCATACAATATAACTACCCGCAGCATTATGCCATTTATAACCATACATCACGCCCATTAGAATTATGTATTTGTATTAAGTCCAAGAACAAAGATGGAAGCAAAGCTGTTGAAAATCGCTTTATTGCGCTTCCTAGTTATAAATTGATAGCGCAATGATGTGTTATTTGTTCTTTTTTGTAACAACCGCTGTCTCGTCACGATGTATTTAAGTCACAGACGCAATAGATATGCAATCGAGTTATATTTCAGTAACTTGCCTCTCTCTACGCTCTTACTAAAACGTCGGCGTTTGAAATCAGGTTTTTATATTATAGCTGCTCTAAATTCTATGTAATCTAATTCTATTTAATTTACCTTTAACACTTTCGGATTTGTCTAATCCTTGCTGACGTGTGTTCCGTGAAAAATTTGTTTGGATTATCTAAGGTAACGCAATATAACAGTATTTTAGTTTGTTACAGTACAAGAAATCAAAATTTTTATGTCCTATTTCGTTTCTGTTTTTATTTAGCGATAGCTTCAGTGTAAGTAAGTAGGCGGTAATTAGAAGAAAAAATAAATATTTATGTGCTGAAACAAGACCACGATTAAAACCTTACAATATTTTTTTTCACTCATCGATTATTTAATTAAATACATATGTTAAAATAAGTATAGTTCATGGCTAAAATAACTCCTATTTATTTGAAAAGTGATGTAAATTGAGTCTGTTCCTGTTGACACCATATTACTGCTTACTTACCCAACTGTGGCAATAATGTTACAATCGTAAAGTGAAAATCAAAAGCACCATAAAGACATTGATATAAATCATGAGTTCTAAATAGCTAATTCAATTATTATCAATCTCGTAACATCAATATTTTTTTACTAAAACATTACCAAAGATCTATTCAACAAATTGTTGCATTCCGTTACTTATATGAAGTTTTCACCAACTCGAAGAAAACAGCAGTGCAGTTGGCACATCCAAATAGCTGAAGACAGCAGTATAATTATGTGATCAACATTTACTCCCAAGTCATAGTGAACGGATGCTGCTTGTGGATATTGGTCCAGTTCGTATTAATTAGTCGATTCTTTGTCTTCATTTATTTGAATGATAAATAATGAATGACTCATGGAGGTATTTACTAAAAAACATAATGTTATGAAAAACATGTTTGTAACAAAAAAACCTTTAGAAAATGTTGTAACTGATCCACATCGTAATCGTTATAGAGTTTATTTACCTAATTATTTTTCACAGCTTAAGAAGTCCTGAATAGGGAATTAGTTATAAGGGTCTTACTACGTGAAATAATAAAGTCAATATAGTTGGAACACTGTAGTTTTATTTGTTACTTAACACGGGATATTACACAACCCTTATATAACTTATCCTAGATAAAAAAATACATGTATACGTGCATGTGTACACAAGTATACGTGCGAACTAAGGGGAAGTTACGGAGGATGACTGGCTCGATCGCTCGTCGTCGAACCATAGAGGTATAAGAATAGAGTGGGAATGGCGGCTCTAAAAGTGTCCGTCTAGTAGAAAGAGAAAGAAGATGAAAGCCGGCTAGACTTTCTCTCTCTAATCGCGAATGCGCATTGGATGAAAAACCTACGGATGAATACCGACCAATCACACGACTGCGCAGCAATACCGACCAATCACAAGACTGCGCAGCGTCACAAGAGAGAGAGATAGCTAACCGTCCCTCATCTTCCTTCTCTTTCTACTTGACGGACACTTCCACTTTTAGTAGAGTACATAGCTCCCCTACTCTATTCTTATACCTCTATGCGTCGAACACGTGCAGTAAATGCTTAGGTGGCAATACTTTGTCCCTACAGTAGGAAAAACGTAAAGTAAATATTTTTATTTTTTTATTATTTATTAAATTTATAAGTTTTAGTGGTGCCTACTTTAATTTATTAACAGCACGTTCTGCATGTTGTATTAAGTTTTATTTTTCTGGCTGCTACGACTAGTCTTCGTTGTAATTCTACTACCCAACATCACCCCAACTTTTATTTAATTTTTTTTGAGTATGCCTTCAGAATATCATCCTTCTAGGATGGTTGAACTTTACTGGCAACCTGTTATTGTGGTTTATTGTAGAATCATCAAGGATCGATCACCACGTGTTTGAAAGAGAAAGCTTACGCTCCCTTAGCTAAGGGTAGGGTCTTGAGCAACGAACATAGACAAGAAAGCCTGCGCAATAGAAAATTTACATAGAAAAAGTTTAGGACTGCGCAAGTATATTTGTCTGTGGTTTGGCTCAGGAAGTTTGCCGCTACTAATAAGTAGTTCACTAAACTATTAGATTTTTGTAAGAGTTGAGATCCTCCTCCACTAAGAGGTCGTTTGAAGAAAAGCAGGTTAAGGCTTTATGCGGAACCTTTATCCACTGGACCATTTATGTTATCACCTGGATTCAGTTACACTTAATATCAGGTGGAGTGGAAACATTTTCCTTGGTATTTACTACGTTACTTCGTTCGCTTTCGCATGGCCAGCGGAAGATGCACGTTTTAAATATCAGTATATGCAGTAAGACCGTATTTTTTCGATACGGCGACTTTTCAACGCTTTTGATATTACACTTTGCATACTTATTACATTAATTACTTAAAAAAAAAAGTTACTTCCTATATATTTTCAAAAAAACAGTTGTCAATTTTAAAATTTACATTCTGTTGATTGTTTACGCTATTGTAATACAGGAGTGTTTTTGCGAAAAAACAAATCAACATCAGAAATTAATCAGTATTAAACAGTAATAAAAATTGATTTTGAGAATGCCAAATATAGAATAAATCTGTTTGGGAACTTCCGAGACAAAACATATTAAAATATAGAAAATAATATTATTATTGCACCTTCCTTATATCTCTTTTGACGTTTCTTCTATCTTTGAGCGCCGCTTTTGATGTCCTTCGATTTATACAAAATTCAATATAAAAAAGTACTTAATAAACATAGATCACACTGGCATTTGATTTGACGTGTTCATTACTAACAATAAACTAACTAGAAAACTTCTCGATAAAAAAATCTCGCCGACGCTCGACGGCTTTATAACATAGAAGGTCTTCAAAACATGACCACGATTTCCTTTGCCATTTAAAATGTGTGACAGACCACGCACATTCCCTGAAAGCATACAGAACTCACCACCAGGAATCGGTGATGGGCGCGAGCAGCAGCAGGCAGGCGGCGATGACAACCGGCCGCATCTCTCGAGGGACATCACTCCGTCACCCTAACACCCTAAACATGACAGCGGCTGGCCTAACCTAACGCGAAACCAGCGCCAACATTCTATTTTAAAACAGCTATATTTTTTTAAATTTTCCTTTTCTTTTTTAATTAATAGCGTCGGCGTCGTAGTTCGATTTTCGATTTTTTTCACGAATGGTGGTGCGGTGTTTTCGCGGCGTCTCGCGAGTGGATCCCAGCCGGTGGGAGATCGCGGCGCGGACTGAGCTCACCTGCGCTCCCCGCCGCACGCGCACACCGAAACAATTTTCGCGCTATTTTGGCTAAGATTTTAGCGGATTAGCCTCCGCGTGATTAGAAATGCTAAAGGTGGGGATGCAGACAATCGTTATAATAACGACGCGTGTGGGCGAACTAATAAATAGTCCATATCTATTGAAGCCTCTAATAATCCTGTTTGGTTATTAATTGAGTTGCAATACGTTGCGCTCGATATTTATACGCAAATTTCAAGATTTAATTTGGAATGGTGCTGATGCGTTTTTTTTGGTGTAGTAACACTAATCTGAATTACGGACGATTACCGAAAGGAGAGTTCGACAGTAAAGTTTTCGGTAGCTATGGAGCGTCTACGAAGTGTAAATCAATAAATGTTTATAAATAGTTTCGTTCACTAGCACCGTGTGTTTGTGCAGGCTCTAATACGAGTACAAGTCAATCAATTAATACTCATACATAATCAACACTTATCGTACTAAGTAGAGACGTGACGACTGCGTCCTACTGAGAACCCTCCATTCAAGAATATTATATGTAGCCATTTTACCTTGAAAAAAAACTTAGTAACGAGATTTTTTTACAAAATCGCCTTAATCCTACTAATATTATAAATTTGTATGTTTCTAACTCAGTCACGTAAAACCTGCCGAACGGATTTGGATGAAATTTGGTACGCATATAGTTTATAACCTGGATTGAAGCATTGGATACTTTTAATCATGGATAAATTTGAGGTTCCTGTGGGATTCTAAACAAACTCAAGTTAACGCGGGTTAAGTCGCGGGCAGCCGCTAGTATCCATAAAATCATTTAAACCAGCAGATATTTAATATATTGAGATTGCAAGGATAGGCCTCTTACAATTAGAACATTATGATCTACTGATTATGTAGATTTGCTGCATCCAAAATTTGTGATAACTGAGCCCACGTGGTCGTTCATGGCCCAATTTTCCAATTCCATTCATATGGAAGGCCTCCTGTACCCCAGCAGTGGGATTTTATTAGGCTGATGAGGAAATGTGATACGCATACAAAGGATTTCGTACTATGGTACAAGTTGTATCATTTAGAATACAGTGATTGCTGTAGCCGTGCACCCTTTAAGTCCTAAATTAACTTTAATTTGACACGACTGCCCAAAAATAGAGTGTAACGTTTTTAGGTAAATATTGTACTTATTGCGGCAATAGGAATGCGTGCAGTGTGAAACATTCAAATGTCTTTTTATTACGATCCACAAGATATTTACAGTCCGGTCACGGATACGGAAGAACGGATACCAAAGACTTAGGAATATAATGTTTCCAAGCACCAAATTTGACAGCTTCATAATCGTATCGCGTAGTCAAAGTTTCTATGAAAACTTAGCAGCGCCTCTACCGGACGTAAGATCTATAGTTCCTTCCATACAAAATTTGGTGATGTCGACGCGATTACGAATCTGTCAAAGTTTGTGATTAAGCCTTAGTAGTCGGATTTTCGAGTTCTGAAAAATAGAATCTGAATTTCAATCAAACTCGTGGGAAATGAAAATTAAAACCTATTCTTACCCAAAGATCTGTCAAGACCCCTTTGAAACAAGTAGGTATATTGATATAAATTGAAATATAAATAAAGTATCTGACCAGAGTTTTCGAAGTTCTCAGAATACAAATACGCTAACTCAACATCGGCACTACGAGGAAGTTTGTTTTCTTCAAAAAGTAAAACTATGAAAAATTATTCGGAGCGACATCAAAGAAAAAAAATTATTGTATTCCTAGATTGTGTTGTTTTTTCCTTTATTTCTTAATGTCGAATTGCTCTTTGATATCTGCGTACGATGGCGTACGATTTGTTTGAAGTTGTGAAACAGCTGCTTCGCTTTGTATTCATTCAACAACTTTTGATTTCATTTCGAGTGATTTCTAACTGACAGCATATTATGTTATGGTAACTCTTTTGTACAGTTTTTTTTATCGTTACCTACCTAAAGTATAGATATTTTATTAAGTGATTCTGAATACTTTATAAGTAATTCGGATGCTTAAAAATCTAAAGTGAGTATATTTGCCTATACTTATCTACTTGGTTAGGAGTTCACGGGTTTCAATTTAGTATCTATATTTTTGTTTTTTTTTAACATAACATTATAATAACTCTGTATTTTTAATAATAATAAATAAATATGAGTGTTTCGTAATTACAATATATTTAAATAGAGGAACAGCTTTTGTTTCAGTGACTTCAGATATTAATCTAACTTGCAGTTGTACGCCACAAAACCCATTCATTAAAGCCGTGCAATAGATCAATAGACCTCTTACTTATTTTAAAACTTGCCAAGTATTTACGTTACGGCCAGCCAAAGGCAAAGGAAAACAAAGACGGTGTCCACACGAGCAGCCCTTGTGACGGCAAACTATGAATCTTCTTTTTGGTATGTTATCGTTGGCCAGATTTATATAGCTACAAAAAAAACCCAATTTATTTTTATATTAATAGTATTTGATATTTATGAAAAATAATATTATGATGTTATTCTATATTTATGAAAAATATTATTATGACCTACTTTACTTTATATAATCGAGTTCAAACTACTTGAGTTTACGGTCGAGTGTCCGTGCCTTTCCCTTCTGACTAGGGTTACCATCCGCCCGGATTTATCCGGACATGTGCGGACTTTGTCCGGCTTTTTAATTTGTCCGGATTTTTTTTAATTAGATGGAATATGAGTAGAACTACTTATTAAATTATATCAAATAAGTCAAATAATCTTTATTAAGTTCTCAATAATATAAAACAAAATATAAATCATCTTTCAAAATCAGCAATTGACCCTCTCGCGATGCGAGCGTCTGCTATCACGCGTATAATATCACTGTAACTAAGTGGGTGATGTTTACATTTTGTAAATAAAATGTCCGGACTTTTATCGAAATGTCCGGCTTTTTGTCAGGACTTTTCAAATTTGTAAATAGTAACCCTACTTCTGACAATCTTCGATTGGCGCAATCAACACGGATCAGGTGCAATGTAAGCTCAAGGCTTAATTAGCGAAAATCTTTGATGCCGCCTCTCGGAGGTGCGAAATTTGAAATTAACTTAAAACACAAATTTGAACACAAATTCGATCGCACTCGGAGTACTCCGAGTCCGATCGTGCACCTCCGTCATGGGTCTATTAAATAGATTAATAAAATTAGATATTGTTTCGCTATCCACCAATTATGCTACCGAGACCTTGATCGCCGTGCGAATTTCATCTAGTATTTATTAGGCTACAAGTTTCAGAGAGGATTGAAATCCCGTCTAAAACCTGGATTGAGTGTTTTTTTCTAGTATTATTTTCTTTAGATTTAAACATCTAGCATTTAAATGCTTAAAAATATATAAAAATTAAATTCATTCATTATCTTTATTAATTCTTTCAGTTTCTATGATTTTTCATACCTACTTTAGGTATGAAAATCATAGAAATTAGATCAACTATACAAATGAATTATGAGATTTAGATTTATTTATTGCAAAAAATATGGTACAATAAGATGACATGTATACAAATAGATTCTAAATATTTTACCATAAATGGCATGCAATTTATACAAAAGACTAAATTAAAGTTAAATTAAATTAAAATAGGGGTCTTTACTATACAATTATAAATACCATGATATAATTATATTACAAATAATTCCATTAAATATTTTTTTGATTAAAATTATATCTATACAGAATCTTCTATCATATTCATTCATTTCAAAATAAACCATGTAATACTAAATAAATAACTAATTTACATTATTCGATTGTCAAATTTGTCATTAAAAAAATCTTCTACAGTATAAAAATTTTTTTCCTTGAGCCAAGTCATTAGTTTTGATTCAAAACGTTTGTTTAATGTGCTGCGAGTCCAATATAATGACGCCTTTCGCATCCTGCTCAAAAAACCGCGATATTGCAGTGCCAAGGAAATGTTTGCTGAAGCAAATGTTCCCGATTTTTTCTGTATCCTCAGATCGCGGTCCGCTTCGTTCTGGGAGAGGCTCCGTGAAAGTGGGAACTCCATTCTCCGCAACATCCACGATGACGTGGACAATGTATTTTTTTAAACATTGGAATAAATTACATCGTTTTGGAAATGACAGTCTGAAATAAACATTCAGCAAATCCTATGTTGTTTTTTAAGTAATTTTATAATATACACAGTTTTATTTTTAATTTTTATTATCAATTTTGTCATATGGGTCTTTTGCCTGAAATAAAGAAATAAATAATTTACTGGGTAGACATTTTATTTCATTAGGTGTTATTTATTATTATATACTTTTACACACATACAATTACATTGTTTTAAGTACCAAGTTAATTTCGGTAGATTATTAAATATTAATCTATTTGGGTCTCTTACACTTTTGTTTTGATTACTCATTTTAAAAAGATTAAAATTGTTTTTTACAAAAGTAGCAACTTCAAATATGTACAGACATGGAAGGGGCAGTTATCTTTTTGAAACTAATGTTGAAAATATTGAAACTAAAAGATCAATAGGAAAGTGTCACTGGGTAAGAGACCTCTCTTGCAGTCACTCCAGAATGTGGGATAACACTGTTGAGCAAATAAACCGAGTCGAGTGAGCACTCGAGTTAAAACGATTCCGATGTTGAGACGAGACTATGTTTTTTGCCTCTCCACCGCTTTGTCAAATATGATCAATATTCATAACAACCGATTTAATATAGAGCAGTAAGACGAGTAAGTTTTTACTTCTTTAAGTTTTATCTTTAATAGTATGTGTCAATGACCTTTTTTTAAATTCCGTTACTTTATTATTATGTCTAGCAAATAATGAAAATTAGATTTTAGCTGATGGAAGCGGAGACCAGCCATACATTTATAGATAAACCGTCTGCAGGCTGAACTGGATGGTGTTTGTATCAGCTGAATACCTACTCATTTTAGTTTTCAGCGCTAAAGTTTGCTCCCGGTTGATACAAAATAATGATGATTAAACGCTATATTCTGTATTTAGTAGCTATCCTGACATAATATTATTGCCAACTTCAAAAGCGA